GGATTTTCCCAGGAATTTCAGGGGTTTATTCCATGGATTTTCCCTGGAATTCTGGGGATTTTTCCATGGATTCTTCTGGGGATTTTTTCCCTGATTCTTCCCTGATTCCCCTGTTGTTTCCCCTCTCTTTCCCCTTAAATTCTCGGGATTTTTCCAGGGATTTTCCCATGGATTTTTGCAGGGATTTTTCCATGGATTTTTCCAGGAATGTTTCACTGATTTTTCCATGGATTTTCCCATAGATTTTCTCTGGAATTTCAAGGTTTTTTTCCCCTGATTTTCCCCTGTAACTCCTGGGATTTTTCCAGGGATTTTTCCATGGATTTTTCCAGGAATGTTTCACTGATTTTTCCATGGATTTTCCCATAGATTTTCTCTGGAATTCCAAGGTTTTTTTCCCCTGATTTTCCCCTGATTTCCCCTCTCTTTCCCCTGTAACTCCCTGGTTTTTTCCCCGATTTTCCCCCGATTTTCTTCGTATTTTCCCGGGAATTTCCCCGCAGGTTTCCCAGGAATTTCCCCATGGATTTCCCATGGATTTTCCCCGTTTTTCCCGCAGAAGCCGAAGGCGAAGGCGCGCCCGTCCCTCTCCAAGGCCCCGTGGGAGAGCAGCTACTTCGGGGTGCCCCTGGCCAGCGTGGTCAGCCCCGAGCGGCCCATCCCCGTCTTCATCGAGCGCTGCATCCAGTACATCGAGGCCACCGGTCGGAAAATCGGGAATTCCGGGAAAATTCGGGAATTTGGGGAATTTTGGGGGATTTTTTCTGAATTTTTGGAGGGGTTTTGGGGGTTTTTTTGGCATTTTTTGGGATTTTTTGGGATTTTTTTTGCAATTTTTGGGAATTTTTTGGGTACATCGAGGCCACCGGTCGGAAATTCGGGAATTCTGGGAATGCCGGGAACTTGGGGAATTTTTGGGGATTTTTTGGGGGCATTTTATGGGGTTTTTGGGGCATTTTTTGTGATTTTTTTGCCATTTTTGGGGATTTTTTGGGGTTATTTTTTGGGTACATCGAGGCCACTGGTCAGAAATTCGGGAATTCTGGGAATGCCGGGAATTTGGGGAATTTTTGGGGATTTTTTTCTGAATTTTTGGAGGGGTTTTTGGGGGGTTTCTTGGCATTTTTTGGGATTTTTTTGCAAATTTTGGGAATTTTTTGGGGTTATTTTTTGGGTACATCGAGGCCACCGGTCAGAAATTCGGGAATTCTGGGAATGCTGGGAATTTGGGGAATTTTTGGGAATTTTTTCTGAATTTTTGCGGGGGTTTTGGGGGGTTTCTTGGCATTTTTTGGGATTTTTTTGCAATTTTTTAGGGATTTTTTTGGATTTTTTTTACAATTTTTGGGAATTTTTTGGGTACATCGAGGCCACCAGTCGGAAAATCGGGAATTCCGGGAAAATTCGGGAATTTGGGGAATTTTTGGGAATTTTTGGAGGGGTTTTAGGGGGTTTCTTGGCATTTTTTGGGATTTTTTTGCAATTTTTTAGGGATTTTTTGGGATTTTTTTGGAATTTTTTGGGTACATCGAGGTCACCGGTCGGAAAATCGGGAATTCTGGGAATGCCGGGAATTTGGGGAATTTTTGGGGATTTTTGGAGGGGTTTTGGGGGGTTTCTTGGCATTTTTAGGGATTTTTTTGCAATTTTTTAGGGATTTTTTGGGATTTTTTTTGCAATTTTTGGGAATTTTTTGGGTACATTGAGGCCACCGGTCAGAAATTCGGGAATTCTGGGAATTTCAGGAATTTTTGGGGGTTTTTTGGGGGCATTTTATGGGGTTTTTGGGGCATTTTTTGTGATTTTTTTTTGCCATTTTTGGGAATTTTTTGGGGTTATTTTTTGGGTACATCGAGGCCACCGGTCAGAAATTCCGGAATTCCGGGAAAATTCGGGAATTTGGGGAATTTTTTGGGGATTTTTGGAGGGGTTTTTGGGGGGTTTCTTGGCATTTTTTGGGATTTTTTTGCAATTTTTTAGGGATTTTTTGGGGGTTTTTTTGCAGTTTTTTGGGTACATCGAGGTCACCGGTCGGAAATTCGGGAATTCCGGGAAAATTCGGGAATTTTGGGAATTTTTGGGGATTTTTGGAGGGGTTTTTGGGGGGTTTCTTGGCATTTTTTGGGATTTTTTTGCAATTATTTAGGGATTT